GAAAAGAAACTGGCTTCTTAACTTAGATATATGCAAGGGACTCTCAGAGTTTGTGGATCGCTGCAATTCCTTGAACAGTTAGAGGAAATTAATGCAGTGCTTATGTGCCCATGCTGATCAACATTTTTTTTCTAGTATATATTGTCAGAATTCAAAAAAAGAAAAAAGAAATATGATCATCTTAGAAACATAAGGGAAGTGAAAGTCAAAGTTCTAAAATAACCAGATATGCTTTTTTAAAAAAATTTATTTATTTTTACATGGTGCTGAGGATCAAACCCAGTGCCTCACATGTGCTAGGCAAGCTCTCAAACCCTGAGCCACAACTCCAGCCCCCACCAGATATGCTTTTAATTAGTGTTTTTAGTTTGTAGTCTCCTAGACCTTAGACTGATGATGTTCCATTTAAATTAAGTAAAATTTTCAGTGATCTATGGCAAAATGAAATAGCACAGTGTAATGTGTGTATTTGCATAAATTTTAGATGTCCTTATTTTTTGAAAAGTATCTACTTTTTAAGCTATAAGTTTATTTTAGAGAAGTTTTAGATTAAAAGAAACGTTATAAAGAAATAATACAGGGCTGGATTGTGGCTCAGTGGTAGATTGCTTGCCTAGCATGAGTGAGGCACTGGGTTCAATTCTCAGCACTACATAAAAGTAAACAAAATAAAGGTATAAAATATTTTTTAAAAAAGAAATAGTACAGGGGATTACACTCCTCTCCCATCCATTTTTCTTACTGTTAACATTTTATGTTACTGTGCTACATTTGTAGTACCAATATTGATACAAAATTATTGGGTTTTATTAGTAGGTACCCTTTTTTCTGATTGCAAACCTCTGGGATATCATATTACATTTAGTCTACACTGCTAAGTCAAGTTTCTCAGGCTTTTGAGAACAACAGTCTTTCTTATAAGTCAGGATTTGTGTTCCCTGCTTTYTTTTGTCTTAATATTCTTGTTTGGGAAAATAAGAAGTTGGCAACCCTCTGTCAGTTTTACTGGTCTGTGAAATCCAAAACTCAGTATGATGATGATTAACAATGAAAGAGTTTCCAGGTTTTGTAACTTTTATTCAGTAGTAACTGCTATTCCCATTTATCCACCCTCTCTACCTCCACCCAACCTCATTATAGTCTGACTTTAGCCCCTTTAATTTTACCTGAATTGTGCTGGCAGAAACCACCAATGATTCCAGTACTCTCCCTCCCTCATCCTTCCTTCTTTCTTCCTTCCCATTCATTCCCTTCCCTCCCTCCCTTCCTTCCTTCCTTCCTTCCATTTCTTATCTTTCTTTGCAGCATAAAAAATAATTCTTTTGCATTTTCTTCCTGGGTTCCTGCCACACTACAATTCTTGTTCTCCTTCCACTCTGATTTTTCTTCTTTACTTATTCCATTTCTCCCCTGTGCATTTTAAATGGTGACCCTGAGAATTCCATCTCCTGCCCTTTTTCTCCTTTTGCTTATACTTATCCTTGGCTTTACTCCTCATCCTTGTTCTTACTGAACTCCAATTTCAAATTCAACCCTCTTTCCTAAGCATATTCAGTTACTTCCTAAGTTAGTAAATATCCATGTTGATTGTCCCATAYTCAAACCAGAAAATACTTGTGGTTTGATCTTAAATATATGAGAGGTAATAGGAAATTAAATGATATCTAGGCAAATAAGGCCTGAATTGCTAAGATTTCATCAAGTTGGCAAAGAATAAGTCATATATTTCTTTTGCACTTTTTAAAGAATATGGTAGTTGTAAAATAGTTTAAATTTATGTGTCACCACTATCTACCCATAATTTTTACCTTTAGCAGACCTTAACTTAAAATTGGAGTGGCTCCAGTAGCTTTAATCTACCTCAGTTTCTTTGCCCAGAATAAAATAATATCAGAGGAGAATGCATTAAGGGGCTGAGGGTATAAATGGATAGTCTGGGATGCCAGCAGAAAATGTAGTATAYGCCAAAGTTTTTTGAACCCTGGTGCAGGTAGCCTTGATCAGGGAGTCCAGATTGTTTGTTTCTCAGTACCAGAGAATTCCTGATAATGAGTGCTGGAAATACTCTAAATTTCGTACSAACTGTATAGTTTTACTGTTAATTTTTAAAGAAATTTTTAGTTGTCACTGGACCTTTATTTTATTTATTATATSTAGTGCTGAGAATYGAACCCAGTGCCTCACACATGCTAGGCAAGCGCTCTACCACTGAGCCACAACCCCAGCCCAGTTTTACTGTTGATTTTGATAATATATTTGTTTTGACTACATTAAAATAGGGAAAGTGTTAATGAAACAAAGATTCTCCTTGGGCATTTTAAATAGGGAGTAGGGAGATGGGGGAYTGATTATAAAATAAGATTTTAGGTTAAGTGGCCTTAAATTTCTTTATGTCATGAAAATCTAACGAAGCCTATGCACAATTAGAAAAATTTGTATATATGCAAATTGCATACAATTTCAGGGATTCACAGAACTGAGGCCCATTTAGACCCTGCTAAGTCAATTTCTATATTTTTGGACAGCTTTTTTCTTTTTACTCAATTCATGATGAGTTGAACTTGTTGTGGAGAAGATGCTACTGAAAGGTATAGGTTTAATTTTTATAAGGGATATTTAGTTATAATTTAGAAACATCTCAAATTTAAATGTTTTTTGTTTGTAATAAATACACACATACATTTGCATAGTCTGCATGCCGTTGATTACAATATGATTGAATGAGATAATATGAATTAATCACAACTAAAAAAACTCAATGCATAAGACAAACATTATTCTCCTTTTGGAGCTGTCATTTAATTTGTGGTATCTTAGAATGTAGAGCTGCTGTATAAATTTTTTAAATACAATTCAACTTAAAATTAATTTTGTGGAGCAGTATTTCAATACATGCTCTTGAAATAATTGTACAAATCTCAGGAGTTCAAAATTTTAGCACAAGATCACTGATTCATATCATCCAGTAGAGATGAATGGGGAATGATGAGCTTGGTTACATGGAAAGTACGCTCGTTAATATATAAATTCTAGTCATAACTATAGTTCTCTGTTATTTTGAGTACTTTTTGTTGGTTTCTTTCTTGCCTTAGATGTACAGACTAATAAATTCCAATGTTGGTTGATTTTAGCAAAAAGAGTAAAATAAAATTCTGTATTAGTGGTTCTCAATCTCAGTTGTTTTGACATCTTCTTAAAGATTTATATATTATTTCAGGCCCTCAAATCTGCTTTTTTCCTCTAACTTATCTCAGAAACTTACCTGCTGATTTGTAAATTTAGTGTTAGATAAAAGTAATAACATATCAGGTGCATTTTATTAATTTTAGTTAGCTCCAGCAGGTTTCCATCTCAGTCTGTTGTGTTGAGCTGAAGGCAGAGTGATACTGAAGAAGACAGCAGGAACTAATATAAGGAGGGGGAATATATTAATATGGACACAAAGTGGATGTTAAATAAATATGCCTGTGTGTARAGAAACTCCTGTGAACCTCTTTTGAAAAATAAAAATGTAGACTAATGCGGTAACATTCAAACTACTTGTTCATTTGCTCACTTATTCATTTTTTTATAAAATTGTGAAATGTTTAATAGAAAATGTATGAGCAAAACAAATATGCATGCCATCATAATTTTTCCTTGAAAAAACTGATTCTGAAAATGGACATATAATGAATGACACATGCACATCCACAAAATGTGGTCATTACTAATGCAAAGTGTTATAAAGACAAGATTGAAAGTCATAGGACTTTAAATAGCATGAACAAATGAAATTACACATCATATATTTTATGGAGCATACAAATGTAGTTAGTTTGCATAGTTCCATATTTGCTGTTTCTAAGATCACAAAATAAAATTTTAAAACCAAGAATAATAGCAGGTGAATACCATAAATAATACTGTTAAATTTCTGATAAACTAAACAAAATATCCTTCTAGATAATTGGGAATTCCCAGATCTATCTGCTTAATGGAAATGTAAGAATGCTAAGCATTAAATGGCAGCCAGATTGATTAGTGGATTACTAAATTAGAATCTTCAGTAATATCTAAAAATCAATCGTTTTAAGTTTGTGGATATCAAATAATTGGCTGTTAATAACTTAGTACTAGTTGAAGTACTAGTAAATAGTTTTTGAGCATTATTTTTAAAAATGAGAAAATCAAAGGAATTTCTAATTATTTGCCCGTTAGCAAAGGTAATGTAGTTGGGGATTGCTTTCAGTCTGTCAGAGGGTTCCCAAGATCTGTCAAGGGAGTTACAACTTTGGAAGGGAATAGAGTATTATAGAAATAAAATATTGATATTTTTCTCACCAGTGAAAACTTTTCAGTAGAGATTATTACCAGTGTACCTTGCAAGATTTTCTTCTGAATTTGAGGCCACTATATGTGTTCCTCAAGGAATWTTATATTCATATTGGTGTTTCAATATGTCATTTGATACTGTAACTGGCACAAATAAACAATCAATGGAATGAATCTGGGCAAGACAGTGTGTGATGCATTCTAAGACCTCTGGGAACAAAGCTGTTTGAAACCAAATTGATCTTGGTGTAGAAGAAGTAAAAATACTTTCCTCTGCCCTCGGACATGGTAGATGCATATTTGCTACACAGGACTGCCATATTCCTTAGGAATACTCCTAAGAGAAGACAAGACAAGTAATATGCAGAATGAAAAAAAGGAATTCAGTAGTGAAAGGAGCATTGTCCTCGAATAATTCTATTGGTCTCCTATATGATTTTTTTCTTTGTATTAGTATATTTGAAGATATGAACTGTTTTTATTACTGAAGGTATATTTTATTTATATCTGGAAATAATATACCTGTTTACTTGCAAAAGAAAAAAAAACAACTCTTCTATTAATTAGATTGAGTCTATCTGCAGTTTAATTATATATGTAATCTGATCAATTAAATAAAACAACTTATGAAGTATCATAACAACTAACCTTATTTACAAACATTACTTTTTCTCATTTGGTCTTAGGGTTTTGACCCACCACATCAAAGTGACACAAGAACTATTTACATAGCCAACAGGTTTCCTCAGAATGGCCTTTACACACCTCAGAAATTTATAGATAACCGGATCATTTCATCTAAGGTAAAGATTAACACTTTTATTATTATTAAAATTGTAGATACGTAGCATTTTATTTTGAAAAATTATTTATTGTGTATGTTCAAGTTTATTTTGTATCCTTACAAAATAAAATGTAGTTAATAGATTTATCTTAATTAAAATGATGAGTTATGAAATAAAAGGAGTTGCTGGTTGCTGTAATCAGGTAGCCAACATGCCAAAAAATTACCTTTAGTTTCAATTAAACTAAGGTGTTAATACTTATATTTATGTGCTAGGTAGTATATTCATTACTTCTCATATCATTTAATCCTGAAAACAACCCTGTGAGATAGCTATTATTGAATCTGTTTTACAAAGTGTTATTATACTCATTTTACCTTTCTTTTAAATTTATGCTGGGGTATTTAATTTTCCCATGTTTACACACTAGTAAGTGACTAGACTGGAGTTTGAACTCCATTCCATATGACTTTAAAGCCTGCTTGCCTCCAGTCTTATCACTTTTCTGTAAATGTTTTATGGTACCAAACTACTGCTTTACTCTTCTTCCTTGTTTCATTTTTCTGTGTGACATTTTTAAGATGTCTTAGTTTATTTGAAGTTGAAGATTATACAGGAATGCTGGCTAATAGGCTTTTCTCTCAGGTTGGAAATGTTTTCCACATTGTTCAATATGATAGCCATTAGCCACATAGGGCTGTTGTGGCCTTGAATGTGACCAGTGCAACTGAAAAAYTGAATTTTTAATTTAATTTAAATGTCAAGAGCCATATGTGACTAGTAGGCTATCTTATCGAACGGTACAGTTATAGAAGATTGGAGTCAATAGAGATTGAGTGTAAAGTTCTTAAATCATAGCTAATGCTTGATAGAACACTKTAAGAAACATCTTCCCTCCTTTCCAAAGAGACTAATATTTTTTCTGTAATCCTGATTTCATCTTACCTAAGGATGTTGTCGTAATTCAGGTGTTTCTTTGTCCTACCCCTTTTTTTCTGCCTTCACATTATTTATATATATGACATACCCATTAATGATGTCTTTTATTTTGGACAATAGCTCTAGAGCAGCAAGAATCTGTGATGATGGAGGAGCTCTATACTAATGACATAGTTTTTAGTAAATTATGTCAGAAATTAACATCTTTGAAATTTTTAAGATTTTCCTTAACTTGGAGTATTATTTAAATACAAAAAATTCATCAGTTTTAAGTGTATAATTCGATAACTTCTGATAAATGTATACCATGTGACCACCACCACAGTCAAAATGTGCAATATAGCTATCACTCCACAAAGTTCACTCATTCCCCTTTGCAGCCAGTCCCCCTCCTCCTTACCCTTAGCATTAGCAACCACTGATCTGTTTGCTATAATTAYAGTCCTGTCTGTTCTAGAATTTCATATAAGTATAATCATACAGTTCAGATCTTTTTTATCTGACTTATTTTTACTTAACATAATGCTTTTGAAAGTCAGGTTTGTTGGTACAAGTGTCAGTATTAGTTTATTCCTTTCCTAGTGTGCAGTTTARCTGCTAGCCTGGGTTTATATCATTTATATCCTGAATTTGTGTCATTTTCTTTGTGTAGTTCTCTTGTATTTTCCCCTTACATTTCCAGCTAGCTTTATAGCTCTGAGCTCTAATATCTATCACATTTTTATATTTTGGTGAATAGGTCACGGTTCTCTTCTGTTTTGCTGCCATAGTTGTGGAAGTTGAACAGTGTCTCCAAGCTACAAAGCCCAAAATTTCTAGTTCTGTTTTCTCACAGTTTTTTTCTTCTTTCCTTCCAAACTCTCTTCCATTTTAAAAACACTTTTCAGGATTTTAAATAGTTCTTAAGTTGTTGTTGTTGTTGTTGTTAATTTTTACCTTCTGGGAGTTCACAGGACCACTTCATTAAACTCTTCTGCCAATACRGAAAGCTGATTGTCCTTCCTGAAAACTTTTAGGATTAAATAAATGCCACTGTGTGGCTTATTTCATAAGCAGGAGTATTGTTTCATATTTTGACCACAATTTCAAAAATATAGRTGTTTAAATTAACATTGCCTTTTTTTTTCTTTTTTCTTTTTTTTTGAATTTTTTTTTATTGTTGGTAGTWCAAAACATTACACAGTTCTTAATATATCATATTTCACAGTTTGATTCAAGTGGGTTATGAACTCCCATTTTTACCCTGTATACAGATTGCTGTATCACATCAGTTACACTTCCATTGATTTACATATTGCCATTCTAGTGTCTGATGTATTCTGCTGTCTATCCTATTTTTTCACCATAAATAAAGACTGTCATTACTACCTTCTTTCTTTTTTATCATGCCACTATTGCTTTCATAACTTCCTTCCCAACTAGATTATTTGCTATTACGTATGCTCATGTCAAACTTGCCTACCAAGGTACCTTTGCTAGATTTCTTTCTGTTAGCCACAGCTTTTAAAATGTAAAATTTTGTGGAGATTGTAGATTTTTTTAAAATATAGAATTCATGTCTTTGAACCCAATTTTAAGAATGTAGATATTTATGTAGACACTATTACTTTTTTCCTGAATGTAAGTGAAGCCTGACTCTTGATTATTCTCTTTATACTATCTTTTTACCATCCTGTTATCTCCTTAAACTTTTTCCAGACTGTGTTATCTTGTGTCCTACAAATCCATGATGAATTTTACTTCTCTGTTCCTTTTCTCATACTGTCCTGTCTTTCTCAAATGTTCTCCGTTATTTGCTTTTGGTTTTCAGCTTGTTGAATGTTCCTTGTTTAAAGCCCCCATCAAATATGACCCTCTTCATTAACTTTTTTGTTCTCATTTTCTCCTTTTCCTTTGAATTATTCATGTTCTTTTGTTTACTTCATCTTTGAATACAACTGTTAATATTTTGTTCTTAACCTCCTCTATTTAATAATAAGCTTCTTTGTTTCCCCTATCAATTAAGTGTTGTACACATTTTTAGGTACATGATCTGCTTTATTTCCTTTCATTGGCCATAGTAAGTACCCTATATTGAATTTAAACTTCTTTGTAAAATATTTAATTTCAATAGGTATAGTAACACATGCCTGTAATCCAGCAGCTTGTGAGGCTGAGGTATGAGGGTTACAGGTTTGAGACCAGCCTCAGCAACTTAGCAAGGCCCTAAATGACTTAGTGAGATCCTGTCTCAAAATAAAAAGGGCTGAGGATATAGCCCAATTGTTACCAAAAAAAAATTAAAGCATGTAATATTGCGCCAGAGGAAATTAGATAAACTGCTTCTTCAAAAATTTTAAATTAATTTATTGCTTTTCGTTTTCAATTTGTTGAATATTCCTTGTTTAAAGCCCTCATCAAATATGACCCTCTTCATTAACATTTTCTTTCTCATTTTTTCCTTTTCCTTTGAATTATTCATGTTCTTTCATTTACTTTATCTTTGAATACAATTRTATTTCACATTGATTAAGATTTTTGAAGAAACAGTTTATCTAATTTCTAAAAAATCAACAATTTAGTAGCAAAGTTGATAAGTTCCAGTTTATCTAATTTTTAACCACTAAGGCTTCATTATCTGAAGTCAGCATATTTGAGGGGGAAAAAACTTATTTTGACCATTTTTATTTATTCATTCACTAATTCTGCRAAATTTTTGATCTCCAACCTTGTGCCAAGTGTAGCTTAAGTACCTGAGATACAAAAATAGATAAAATAATGTCCCTGGTCTCTGGGATCTTACATTCTACTGGGAGAATAGACATAGGGTAAAGTAAAAGTTCTATAAACTATCTCCCTATTTTATGTGTAAAGTTATGTTGTGTGTAATGATGCAAATAAAATCTTTAGTATATTACTCTGTCCCTATAAACAGCATTATGAGCTTATGAACTGAGTAATTAATAACAAACATGTAGCAATTAGGATGAGCCACTTTCTATTATACATGCTTCATATATTAGCTGATTTAATCTTTTTAAGAACCCTATAAGATATGTGCATTATTATTATCTTCATTTTATAGAGGAACAAATGTGGGACACAGAGAGAGATTAAGTCCAAGGTTATTTATTTAATGAGTGTTATAATTAGGATTGGGACCGCAGTAGTTTAAGCCCCAAGCATCTAGCTCTTGACCATTAAACTCTACTGTCTTTTTAAAATTGACATTGTAACAGAGTTTCATTTCTCTTCTTGAGACTTTTTATTATTTATTTATTATTAATTTTTTATTTTTATTAGTTATACAGAATAATGGGTTTCTTTGTGACATGTTTGTATGCTCATGTCACATRCTTTGATCATTTGCAATCACCTTTATGAAATTTTTTATGGTTTTCCCACTAATAATTTATCTGAAACATTCTTATTTCCTCAACATACTAGATAATTTTTCCATATTCTGTACTAAAAAAAATAACTGAATAATTTGACCATTTTCTATTTCTGACACTGAACCAAATGAAATAAATGTTATCTAGTGTCAGCATTTACGTCAACTTTTATTCATGTTTACCATTATTTAATTTTGTATAACAAAGTCCAAAATAAATTATTAAAATATTGTTTTAGACCTGCCTTCTCTAACTTCTAAAAAATCAACAATCTAATAGCAAAATTTATAAGTTCCAATTTATCTAATTTTTGAAAATTGCATTAAAATTACTAATAGAGGAAAAAGGAAAGTAGAATAATAAGAACTACTGAAACTAGAAACCAGAGACTAGTTTCTATAGCATCTAGAGTTACAAAAGTAGACTTAGTGGTGCACACCTATAATCCAAGCTACTCAAGGGGCCAACACAGGAGAATCCTGGGCAACTTAGTGAGACCCAGTCTCAAAATAAAACATAAGAAGCACTGGGGATGTAGCTCAGTGGTAGAGTACCCTTGGGTTCAGTCCCTATTACCACACATGTGCATGCATGCACACACACACACACACACACACACACACAAAGGAAAAAAAAACTATATGAATTTGATGATTTAGTAAATCTGATTTTACTTTTCTTATGTTTACATCAATATAGCATATATTATTTTAGGACATTAATTTATTGATACCTTTTTTCTTTCTTTTTTTTATAGTATACTGTGTGGAATTTTGTTCCAAAAAATTTATTTGAACAATTCAGAAGAGTGGCAAACTTTTATTTTCTTATTATATTTTTGGTTCAGGTAAGCTTTATCACTTAATGGATTATTGTTTGTAAACATGTTTTCTAAAAATATGTCTTAGAAAAGGGAAAAATTACATTGTGTTCTTAGGTATTTGACCATGGGATCTTTTTTTTAATATTTATTTTCTAGTTTTTGGTGGACACAACATCTTTATTTTATATTTATGTGGTACTGAGGATCGAACCCAGCAACCTGCACATGCCAGGCAAGCGCGCTACGGCTTGAGCCACATCCCTAGCCCATGGGATCATTTTTTTAAAATAAGAGGTGTCACAATGTAGTCAAAGAATAAATTCTCTAAATCATATCTAGATTTCTAAAAAATAGCCTATGRATTTTAAGATCAGTTGTATTTTGTTTCATTACTGATGTACCATAGAGCTGATAACTGAAATCTAAGCTAAGATATAACCTATCATAGTTCAGAATCCTGCACAGAACATATTTTGGCTGTTAATATACAGTGCATATTTTTGGCACATGCCTGCCTATGGAATCATCTTTGAATAAAGTGAAATTTTTTTGTTTTTTTAATTTAAGTTTTATTTTAGCTGGGTATAATGGTTCATGCCTGTGGCCCTAGCTGTTCAGGAGGCTGAGGCAGAAGGATCACTTGAGCCCAGGAATTCGAAGCCAGCCTGGACAACATAGTGAGACCCCCATCTCAAATAAAGAAATTGTAATTTCAAATTTTTTAAACAGTTCTACTTTTTAAGAATCTCCAGGAGTACAGAGTCTTTATTCAGGAGAGCCTTTTCTGTTCATTATAATCTGGTTTGCCAGTTTCTAAATCTTGACATTATACTTTTTCTTATATATCCCAATTATCAAGAGAGAAGCCTATGAAATCTGAGTATAAATCAAGATGTAAAAATAGTGATTATCATTTTCCTTCAGAGGTTATGCTTTTAGGAGAAAACTTCATAAATTTCTTTCATTATGGCATTGAAATTTTTTAATGAGCTGTTTACTTTTCTCTCAGTAGAACCTGGGATTTCAAAAGAAAAATTTAGGGCTGGATTTGTAGCTCAGTGGTAGAGCCTAGTATGTATGAGGCACTGGGTTCAATTCTCAGCACCACGTTAAATCAATCAATCAATCAATCAATCAAAGGTATTATGCCCATCTACACCTAAAAATATATTTAAAAAAAGAAAAATTAATACTAGTCAATCATTTTAATGCTTTGGGAAACATTTACATTTTTTTAAAATTGCTTTTCTTTGTGAACAGAGTTCAAGGATCTCCTGATTTATGTCAAGAGAGCATGTGTTTGGTTTTCTTGGAAAAGTGAGAAGTCATATTAGCCATATCCAAATAGTATGCATGGCTTTGTGAAATAACTAGCTAAGATCAGGAATTTAGCATATCTGTGAAATAGAACAAATTTAATTGCCCTATTCAGAGTAAAGGAACAGTAATAAGTYATAAGGCCCCTGTTCTTGCTAACCATATGTAATCACTGCTGTAAATACTTCTTTACTTCTCTAGCAACTTATTGAAACCTCAGTTATATGATTTACATTTTAATTACAGCATCATTTTCTTTGCTGTCCCCCTCTGACTGCTGGATAGAACAAAATTGCTTGTAGGAAAAACCTTTTCCATACTCCCATTCCTAGTTCTCGCTTCCCAGTGTTGAGTTTATTCTGAATTCGAGGGTAAAAATTACTGRCAGATTTATCAGCATTTTTCAAGATGTGCAAATAAATTGTAAAACAAGATCTGAACAGCTGTAGCTCCACTTCTGGGCAATATTGAAGAAGAACTTAAAAGTACCCTGTGTGTTAAGAAAGCAGAGTGACTGAGTCCACACTAGCAATGTATGTGGGTATACGATACAGATTTAAATATTCTACCAATCCTTATATCATAGCCAATAAGGTGAAGTTGTGAAATTATAAATTAAACTATACTTGCTGCATAATAGAATGAGATTTTAGATGTTAATAGTATGATGTACATGGTATAAAAAAATAATACTCTGCATTCTTTTTAATCTAGCTCATGATTGATACACCTACCAGTCCAATTACCAGTGGACTTCCATTATTTTTTGTGATAACAGTAACCGCCATAAAGCAGGTATGAAATACTTTCTATTATTGTTGTTTTCATTCAATTCATTTAGAAGTTGCTAAATCTTTCCACAACAAAGTAACATTTATTATCCTGAAAAGAATTCCGTTTCTAAAAAAGCAATAAATTTGTTTAATATATAATAAAATTAAACTGTTAGCCAGTCTATTATATTTCAGGTACCTGATGACTGATAAATGATTACCATTATTAAAATGTTGCTCCTTTGACACAGCTAGGAAGCATGTAAAAACAAATACTATATGTACAAGCCAATTTATATATGAAACAGTTTATTATAATCATCTTAGTTGAATCTGGTGATATTTAAATAAAATTAGTTCGAAGGAATATGTTTACAGGTAGTAAAACGCATACTTCTGGATTGAACATTTTTGAATAAAAGTTGTATAGTGCTTTCTTAGTTTTTACAACTATACTTTTATGTAAAGTAGCACCCTAACGAAAAAAGTTTCAGCCAAATTATGAGTTTACATTAAAATCTAGGTGTAGAGACACAAAATTATTGGATAAACATACTAATTAAGAAATAAAGACTTCTTTAAAATGTCATGTTGTTATAGCTAGCACTCTCAAAAGGTCTTGACAGGCTCTCTGATTAYACAGAGATGTGATCCCTACCAACGGAGAGAGTTAATTGACTTTTCTTATCTAAATGTGATGAACTTTCATTTTGTAATATATAGGGCTGGGCACAGGGTAATCCCTGTGGCTTGGGAGGCTGAGGCAGGAGGATTAGGAATTAAAACCCAGTCTCCAAAACTTAATGAGACCCTGTCTCTAAATAAAATGTTTAAAAAAGGGCTGGAAATRTGGCTCAGTGGTTAAGTGCCCCTAGGTTCAATCCCTGCTACCAAAAAAAATAATAAGAAGAAGAAGATGTAGAGATAAGGTATAGATGGACATGAAAATAAAATTGACAAACACTTTGGGATGAAGTATGTTTTTTATTATGTAAGGAGGATAAGAGGAGTCTATGAATTAACAATTAAATTATGAATCTAGTGTAGCAAAGAATATTGAGCCACAGCTCTTAGTTTGATTTCTTTCTTTACTCTTCTATCAAGGACTAGAATTGGTGCATGTAATTCAGTAAGCATTCAAATCATTCTGTACAGTTTTCCAGATGTCATTTTTCTCATCAGAGTAACACGTATTCCTCCCTTGTACCTCTTTTATATATATACTTTCCTCTTAAGTGATTTCATCTAGTCTTGTGATTTAAAGTAGCATCTGTATGTTGATAGTTCTCAAATTTATATCTCTCTTTAAACTATTATTTGAACTTCCAACACATGAACAACTGTCACAACAGTTCTGCTTATTATGTCTTACAAGAATCTCAAACAGAACTCTTGATGTTTTTCCCTCTAACGCTTATTAAAGTTTATTAATGGCTCTGCCATCTCTCCACTGCAAACCTTGGCATCTCCTTCTTTGACTATTTTTCTCCCTAGCTTCAAGATCTACCTCATTAGTCTGAGTTATCATGATCTCTTCCCTGGACAATTGCATTATTCTTCGAATAGTTTCTCACTTCTACTCTTGCTCTCCTGCTGTTTCCATACAATAGCCAAATTGATCTCTTAAAATCAGATAATACCACCCTCCTATTAAAAACTGTGCAGGGTTTCTTGTCGAACTGACCAAAACACTACCCGTTTCAATGATCTACACAGACATATAGTCTAGTTCCTAGTTCTCTTTATTTCCCATTGTTTTTACATTTACTCACTGTCCTCCAGCCGTACCCTTGTACCCTTCTCTTTGTCCTCAAATGCAGTAAGCATGCTCCTATCGAAAAGCTTTATGACTTGCTGCTGTACTCTTCCTGGAAAGTTTTTCTACCAGGTAATTGCATGGCTCAATTCCTCATTTTACTTAGATACTTGAACTTTGGCTTTTCCTGGTCATAGCATACCATTCCCTAATGTTTTTTTCCATCTTTTTTCTTCATATCATTTATTCTCACTTGGTGTTCTCTTGAATTAATGTTTGCTTAAAGTTTATCGTTTTCATTCAAATGTTTAGCTCTCTAAGGACAGAGACTGTTTTATATACTGGCTTATTTCCAGTGACTGAATGAGACCATACACCTCTATGGGCTTTTAAATATTAGCTGAATAAATGAATAAATTAAACTATTGAATATTTTTTAAAGCAATGTAAAATGTTATTATATGTCTTGTCCTTATTTCTCAGTATATATTGGCCAAATATGAACTGCATTTAATTGGAATTTGATACCATTCATGAAGTGAGTTGAAAAAAATTATGGTATATACCTATCCATAAAACGATCATTTAGTATAATTACAATAATAATAAGACATCCTGTCTTCTTCTAAACTGGGTTAGGTAAAAATGCATAAAATCTAAAGTAGGAAACAGGGAMATTATACTTCAAACCTGAGTTAGTATGGTTATTGCTGTTGTGAACTAAATTTTTTTTAATTTTTTTTTCGTTGTAGATGAACACAATACCTTTATTTTGTTTGTTTATTTTTCTGTGGTGCTGAGGATCAAACCCAGTCAAACCCAGTCCTCACACATGCTAGGCAAGCACTCTGCCACTGAGCCACAATCCCATCCCCTAGAACTAAATTTAAATGAGAATTTCTTGACACCTAATGCAAAAGAGGAAATATATAATTTTCAAAGAGAAAATTTAACCTATAAGGCTTTTCTGCCTTTCTCAAAGCAAATTTCAGGACTTGAATTTTTCTGTTTTGTAATAACTATTCCTAAAGTTTACTCATTTAATAAACAAAGAAAGTACTTTCTTCGATATATTATTCAGTCTTTATGTCTATCACTATAAATCAAGTGAAGAAATTTAGAAAAATTGTAGAAGTGAAAGTTGCTATGATCCAACCTTATTGGTATTCTTTTCTTCTCCCTTTTTAGTTTGCTTTTGCTTTTTTCACTTTTGCCAAAATAGGAAAGACTCTATTATCAGTTGTTGGTTTTTAAATTTTTCCCATCTGTATATATTTATTATGTATTCTCAAGATATAGTGCTCTGGTAAATAAGATGGTCTCTACCTTTTAGGAGCTTTAACTCCATGAAGTAGGAAGGTAAGACCAAATACAAAAATAACCACATAGAGTGGTAATAAGATATGCTAGATATGACTGTTCAAAAAAGTGATGTAGCACTTCATCTGGATGATCAAGGAGAATTCTGTGGAGGAATGTTATTTAGATGAGTCTTAGAACATGGATAAAATAACAAATGAAAAATGTTAAGGTAGAAACAAACTCAAAGACTCAAATGAGAGAAAAGACAAGACCTATTTTGAGGAATTATAAGGCTAATTAATGTTTGAGCCTCTTTAGGAAAATACTAAGAGGTAATAGTAGAAATTAACATAGATACTAAATTAAGGAAGCTACAAGATTCTTTGCTCTAAGGTTTGGGAGTCACCAGGGATTTTGAGCRGGATAGTAAATTAAAACAATGTTGTAGGAAGATTGATCTGACAGTAATACGTACAAGGAACTAGAATTTATAAACTTATATTAGAAAAGATATTGCCTTTATTATTATAGCTTTGCTGTTAATGTCTTCCTACTATAAAAGTGTACTTTTTGACAGTTTCAGAAAAGATGTTTTGACTCCATTAAATTTTTCTCAGATTGACATATCTTAGCTTAAATGGGGCCAATATAACTTAGCCTATCTATCTAAAGTGTTCATATAGGCAAGGAAATTTTCCACAAACRATAATATAAAACATAGTCTATAATTCTATACCTTACTTTCTATCACTTAATGTTATCTCTTAAGTATCATCTCATTATCTGTACTTTACCTTGAATCCTTGATTAAATAGCACAGAAAGTCTTTTCTACTTAAAAAAATATATATATTCCTTAACATCAAAAGGTTCTTGGTGAAATATTTGTCTGTTTCTCTTTCTAGTAATGACCCGTATAGTTTACCCTGTTTTTTATGGTACTACAGATTGAGTATTCTTTATCTGAAATGATTGGGATAGAATTACTTTGGATTTCAGGGTAGTTTTTTTTTTTTTTCAGATTTTTGGGATATTTGCATGTGCATAATAACATACCCTGGGGATGGGACCCAAATCTAAACATAAAATGTATTTATGTTGTATATTCACTTTGTAGTCTTGGCTTGAAGATAACTCTGTACAGTATTTGAGATATTTTTGCACATGATGTTTTACACATGAGATCAGGTGTGGAATTTTCCACTTGGGGCATCATGTCATAACTCAAAAAGTTGTGAATTTTGGAGCATTTTGGGACTCCAGTTTTCAGGTTAGGGATGCTCAACCTGTAATTATAATTAATTCTTTTGGTCTGTTGTTTAAAAAAGTGAACAGAGTCAATCTCAGTTTCAAAATCTTTTTTTTTCTTCTGTTTATAGTCTTTAATAATACAGTGKGAATTTATGTTTTGTAATTAAAATAAAATATTATTTGTACATTAAAGTGATAGAATTTAGTGATGGAATAGTGTTAGGAAAATAGGAGTCAAGAATATGACTTTGCAAGTTCTGGGGATATAGCTCAGTTGGTGGAGTGCTTGCCTTGCATGCACAAAAAAAAAAAAAAACAAACAAGAATGACTTTGTAGATTTTTGGCATGAGTAGCTCATAGTGACATTTGTCAAGTTAGGAAATATGGAAAATGCAACAAATTTGGGGGGAAATATCCTAAATTTAGTTTATAAGATATTTATGAGACATCAAAATGGAGATAATAATGCAGTTAGATATTAAGTTTGGAATCCAGAAGGATATGAATTAGAGATAGAAATTTCAGAATTACCATATATTTTGTATTATATGAATACCCAGAAATAGTGAGAGTGAAGTGTGAGAAAAGGGTCCACAAAGGTAATGTGGACCTCCAATAAGGAAATGGAGAAGTAGCTAGAGAGAGCCTATGAAAACAGGAACCATGTATATCATGAAAACCAAAAGAACAGAGTATTTCTAGTAAGAACAAATGTCAAATATCTGGTGAATGAAATTTGGGTTTTTTTTATTCTTTTTTTTTTTAAAGAGAGAGAGAGATGTGGTGCTGAGGATCGAACCCGGGCCGCACGCATGCCAGGCGAGCGCGCTACCGCTTGAGCCACATCCCCAGCCCTGAAATGTTTTAAGGAAGTTTTCACAATGTTTTTCTTACTTGATCAAAATGGTTTTAAAATTATACTGAAAGGGGTATTTTTTTATTCTTTATATATTTACAGGGATATGAAGATTGGTTACGACATAACTCAGATAATGAAGTAAATGGAGCTCCTGTTTATGTTGTTCGAAGTGGTGGCCTTGTGAAAACTAGATCAAAAAACATTCGGGTATGCATCTAGTAAATAATAGAAAATAGTATTTTGATATTAGAGCATTAATTTCTATCTTGATTATACTTTAGTACAACAGGCTTTAGCCTGTTTTTTCTACATAAATGTAATATGATAGGGGCTGGGGTGCAGCTCAGTGGTAGGGTGCATGCCTAGCATGCTGGAGGCCCTGGATTTTACTCCTAATACCAAAATAATAAGAAGTAAAATGAAGTGAAATACTCTGATAAGGTACTTATTTAGAATCTAATAAAATAAGTCCTTACCTTTTAAAATCTGTTTACTCAGCTTTCCCCCCAAATTTTTCATAGGTGGGTGATATTGTTCGAATAGCCAAAGATGAAATTTTCCCTGCAGATTTGGTGCTTCTGTCCTCAGATCGACTTGACGGTTCATGTCATGTTACAACTGCTAGTTTGGATGGAGAAACTAATTTGAAGGTTTGTTCATATATATGTTAGAGTGCTGCTCTTGATGAACAAAATAGCTTTGTGTTATTACTGATATTTTCCTTTGGTTAAGTAATAAAATTTGATCTGATGAAGAAGACATTTTTTTTAATTACTGAAACTTTTTAAAAAGCATGATTTTTAAAAAGAATAAGTGTTATTATGTATCTATTTTAAGAGTAGCCCAACATGGTTTAGTCAATTCAAGTTGAAAATGGAAAGTATATTTTAGGAAAAATATAGTCTTATTATTTTTGTGATGATTATTTTTGTGTGTGTGTGTGTATATACACACCAGGGATTGAACTCAAGAGCACTCGACCACTGAGCCACATCCCTAGCCCTATTTTGTGTTTTATTAGAGATAAGGTCTCACTGAGTTGCTTAGCACCTCAAAGTTGCTGAGACTGGCTTTGAACTCTTGATTCTTTTGTTTCAGCCTCCAAAGTTGCTGGGATTWCTGGCGTGCATCACCATGCCTGGCATGATGGTTTTTTATCTAAGGGACAACTTTAAATTTTTTCAGTTTTCAGACTACAGCCAAGAGTGAAAATTCACATTTTTTCCCCTGTTAAATTGCTTATAATAAACTTTGAACAGTAGTGACTGTATGCACACACTTCATTTCCTTGTATGTAAATGGCCTCCATAGACAGGTAATCTCAGCAATCCCTTTTTTCTTTCCCTTCTGTTTTATTATCTAGCTGAGTTATCTCAAGTACAGTAGGTTTTATCTGTAAAAGAGATTTGAAATACCTGATATCTAAAGTCACATTTGGTTACAGTTTAATCCTTTTTTCCCTCTAGACACACGTGGCAGTTCCAGAAACAGCAGTATTACAAACAGTTGCCAATTTGGACAGCCTTATAGCTGTAATAGAATGCCAGCAACCAGAAGCAGATTTGTACAGGTATGATGTTCAGTGTACTCATTGTAAATCCCATTAATAGACTTCGTTTTTTGGTTTTATAACCATAAGCAGAAAATCAAATCTTTATCTAATTGGTAATATTATTTATGGAGAAGGTAAAGGAAGGGTGAAATTGAGGACAGCAATTGGGTAGGGGATAAAAGCAGAATTTACCAGAATTCTAAGCAGAAGATATGAATTTAAAAGCATGCCTTCCGTTATCTTCTGCTTCTACTGTTATGAACCAGCATGCTCACATATAGTTCTAAAATCTATAGAGCTGCAGAAGTAGTATTATTGCTTTTAAGCCCTCATAGATTTGGGGCTTTAATAAATATACTGACAAATTACAGAAGCATTGTAATTGGACTGATTTTTATCACATAAGCAAAGTAAAAGTTTATGAGATTTTTTGTTGTTTCAGATTTTTACTAGCATTAAGTATTATAATTTTAAAATGTTTACTAATTTTATAATGATTTTAAATTGTATTTTTTTATCAGAAAGGTTAAGTCATTTTCTATGCTTGTTTTTGTTTTTCTCTCTTAAATTGTGCTTCTTTTCAATTGCCTATTTATTAATTGGGATTACATTATTCCTCTTTAAGAACTTTTAATAGTTTATTGAAAGTAACTCATGTGGTATTGAGTGATCTGTGCTAAACTACTGAAAGAAGTGAAAAATAGTGCTCCTTTCTATTTAGGAGCAGCCTCTAGCATGTGCCTATTTCACAGAAGTCTTTGTTTTCTCTTTTTTGGGCTGCTTTAGTTCTCTTTGTTTTCTTTCTACCATTTATATTTTAGACTTTTACATAGCTTTTCTATATTTAAGATTTTTCCCTAATAAAATAACATTTTGCTTCTAGGAATTTATCTTAATGAAAATGTGAAAGGATATATACGCAGTGTTATTYAGTCAGGACTATATTGTTTAGGCTGTTCATAAGTTGAGAAATAAACCTAAATTTCATAGTAGTGGTTTAAATAAATTATGCAATAACCAAGAAATGCAATACTATGTGTGGCTATTAAAATAATGGTGTAGATATGCTTTTGATTGGGCATGTTAAGTTGGGAGAAAAATGTTAATGTCACTATTTATACTGTGATCCTGTTTTTGTTTTTAAGATACGTACATACATGCATACATGCATATGAATATAAAAAAAACTGGAAAATGTACTCCAAAATATTAGCAGAATTTGTATTTGGTAGTGGGATTACCAACATTGTGACTTTTAAAAATATTTTCTTAATTGTTTTATAAAATACTCATATATTTGAGTATRTATGTAGCTTTTGTATTTGAAATGGGGAATAATAAAGTGATTTTGAAGAACATCAAATGTGGATTTGAAACAAGGGATAAAGAAGACACAAGATGGATTAGGCCAGTGTGGAACTGACCTGAACAGATAACTTAGAAGTGCCTAGAATCAAGAATAACAGAACAGGGCTGGGGATGTGGCTCAAGCATTAGCACACTCRCCTGGCATGCGCGAGGCGCTGGGTTCGATCCTCAACACCACATAAAAATAAAATAAAGATATTAAAAAAAARAGAATAACAGAACAAATAAAAAGAAAAGAAACAGCTCCTTTGTTGGAATTTAGCTAAGGGAAACAAAAGTACTGATCACACATCATCTCTGAAACGTGTAGAGAAACACTAGCTGAATTTTTTTTTAATATTATTATTATTTTGTTTTTTTGTGGTGCTGGGGATCAAACCCAGGGCCTTGTGCATGTAAGGCAAGCACTCTATTAACTGAGCTATATCCCTAGCCCAAATTGTTTTCTTTGAATCTAAATTCAAGGTCTAGGAGTCAAGACTACATAAAATTCCACTATAAGTGGAAAAAATAAGAACAGTACTTCACATTGACATAAACTGACAAAAATAGAAATAAGAAACTGGAAAGAAACAATGAAGTCAAAGTCTCCAAGGGATAAAGGATCTGTGACTTGGAAACCGAATCATAGGGGACATTTGAAAGGGAGTACTTAATATTTCTTTGCTTAAAGATTAACATGATACTTTGTCTAGAATTTGCTTCAACTCAGAATTTGCTTCTTACTATAGTAAAAAGTAACTGTATTCATGAATTGACTCCTTGCTCTGATGATGTTTTGGTGGTAGAAGTTGGGATTGAAAGGCCCAGCTGGAAGTCCATTATACCATTCACTCTAGATTTCAAGCAATGGACACTTTAAATATAACTGCAAGGCTAAAGAAGTCCAGAAGTTCACTGATAGGTTTTTTGCTTACTACTCTATCCCTACCGTATAATTCATACATTAAGTAGTTGCTCAGTGAATATCTGTTGAATGAATGAATGAATGTATAAGCTGGTTCAGTGACATATAGTCACAAGAGTCATTAGTCAATTATAATGAAACATGTAGACATTCATTGTTGGCTAAGTAACATATGCATTTTTGTGTAAAAACTATAAATTCTCATGATGATCAAACAAATAATAATAGTAAAAACAGCATTTATATTTTGAAAAATTTTTTAAATTTCTTAATTACCAGGAGTAGAAAAGGCAAGATTACTAAGTGTTTTAAAGCCAAAAGACTATTTTTATAATTTCTAGCATGAATATTGAACATTCATATATGYAAAAGGTTCATTTTTGTTTTATATATATACAAAACTAGTGCTAAAACTAAGGTGTTTCACCCATTGATTTATAAGTAATATATTTTTGTAACATAGTTCATTCTTTTATAGATTCATGGGACGAATGATAATAACTCAACAAATGGAAGAAATTGTAAGGTAAGAATAAATTCACATTATCTAATTACTCTTAAGTGGGAATTCTTTGTGGGAGGGGTTAAAAGGTAAAGGGAGATTAAGTAAACAACAGTGTATCAGAAAAGTTTAATATAAAAGCATTTAGCACTTTATATGATGGTCATTTATGGTAGCAATGAGTAAAGGTAAAATATCTTAGAAAATGTTATCAAGTAATTTAGTAAGATTTGTATATTTTTATTTCTTTCTTTAATAATATTAGGTAGTACCTTTAAAAGGAAATATCTGCTGTGTTCAGATCCTTATGTATTTAAAGCCATGCTTAAAGTCAAGAACATGAGRGCTTGGAGGCATAGCTAAGTGGTAGTCATGTGCTTAGCATGCATGAGGCCCTGGGTTCTATCTATCCCCAGCACTAAAAAAGTAAAGAATGTGAAAAACTTCATATGTAATATTTAGCAAGTATAAATGCAATGGTCTTCCTGACTTCATAATCATGGATTTCAAACTGGAGTATTTAGGGACCAGTCCAGGACCATTCACTCACTCTTCTATTGGTTTTTTGCTTGGTTGATTGTTTTGATTTTTTTTCCCTCAAAATTCAGGTTAATTTGGGGGATTTAAATAAAAGACTTTGGGTCAGTTCAAAGATTAGCTGGTAGAAAGAAATTACATAACCTTAAAACTTAATTTAGAATCAATGTTGGAATCAGCCCTTGAATTTCTAATCAAATTTGACATGGCACCTCTTTTGGGGGGACATGTTCATTTATATATATGTGTGTGTGTGTKTTTTAGTTGTAGTTGGACACAATACCTTTATTTTATTTATTTTTATATGATGCTGAGGCTCAAACCCAGCACCTTGCACGTGTTAGGTGAGTGCTCTACTGCTGAGCCACAACCTCAGCCAAGATATATTCATTTTATACTAGCTGCATGAAATAAGTCACTAACAGAATGAATTGGGCATTTTTTAAATGAAATCCTAAAGACAAGYCACCAAAAATTCATGCATCAGCACTGATTCACATTTTTAATAAATTTTAACACAGAACCACATTCTGTAAACTTTAATAAGATCTTGATATGTGTAGGATCCCTGCTGAATAACTGACTGGGTTTTATTTTTATTTCTGTAGTGAAATAATGAAAAAATATGTGGATTCTTCATCTTCATTAACATTAAGATATTGTGGCTGGTAAAGGAAGGTAGCAGTTATGTGACTTCAGCTCCTAGTGGCCAAAAAATGAACTACTTTCTTTACTGTAGCAACTGGAGTAAACTGATGAATTACCTTTTAATCTGAAGCTATCATTTTAGCCCAATTTTGTATACTAGTATCAACTCAAAAGATTTGTATCCATTGTTAAATCCAATATTAAGTGCAAAAGAATTGTTGTATAACTTCTGAGTAGTTAGTTGCAATATTCATAGAGAGGACTCCAAATACCATTTAATAAAACCATACTTATTAGCCATATTCCAAACACCTAGTCCTCCTTGGTTCTGTTGCATTTTTTACAGTGTTTGGGTTTGCAGATACTTTCATAAATGGTTCAGATTCTGATCGATTTAGATAAATATATATTTCAGAAAAGCATAAGGAATATCAACACACTGAAGGTTTTTTATTTTTTTTTAACTTATCCATAACAGACTCTTCATTTTGCTATCACTACAATTTCCTTTCTAGTTATACCTTGTGGTTTTGAATCTCCTTTATGGAGAGAAATTCAAACAGCAAGAAGACCTGTGCTCCAAGAAGTATTCAATGCAAGTAGTCAAGTTGTAATGTGCRTTCCTGCGTACAAAAGACACTAACAAACTTTCTACATTATATTTTGTAATCCAGCATAATTTTAGTTGTGAAAACTCATGCATTTATACACAAATCATACTATAATCATTTATAATGCATTTTAATTCTGTATTTCCCTTCTAAAGCTGTTTATTAATTTTGCTCAAGTTTTTAAAATTTTATCTTTTACTAAACTTTCTTAAATCACTGCTTTTAAACATTTAAAAATTTTGAAACTAGTGGCTTTGTGAATTTATTACATGTCTAATTTTATTTTTCAGCCACTAACTTTAAAGTGACTTAAATGCTAAAGCAGGTGTTTGTTGTTATAATAACTAACATCATGGTTGGCCTAGGTAGCAGAGTACCTGGGATTTTGGTTTTATATGAAAGCAGAGTTGTAGCTATAGCTTGAGTATCTCCTACTGAAGATGTCCTTTAATTGAATTGAATTTTTAATATATTCAATGCTCTTTGATGTTCTCTTTTTTCTTAGACCTTTGGGACCAGAGAGTCTCTTGCTTCGTGGAGCCAGATTAAAAAATACAAAAGAAATTTTTGGTCTGTATATATTTTTTTAAATTTTTAATTATTATTTTGTATTGATATTATTTTGTATTTTTTAAGAACACAGCGTGTATGGTCTTTTTGTTAAATAATTCAATTCTTATAATGTTATATATTTTAATTTTCTTACAAAGATTGAATTGATTTTGTATTTTTTGTTGTTAATCCTTGTTGGGKTTTTTTTGTTGTTGTTGTTTGAGTAAGAGACTAGAAACTTCCTCTTATACTGTCTTTGTGGATACTTGTAAAACAATGCCAAGAAAATAATTCTGGTATTTCTAGTAATGTGGATGAGAGCTAATATAATYTAGCATCATGGTATAGTAAATTATCTCTATAATTCCATTGTGATTATTTTTAGATTAGATTAATTACTGCTGTCTTATTCATTCATATGTTCATTTATTCAGTGAATTCCTGTTGAACTAACTATAAACCACATATTATTGGGACATATGCTGTCTATATCAGAATAAATAATAAATAGTGCTCTTGCCTTGGAAAATGAATTTAGTACACTCTGAACTCACTCTATGCCAACTGTGAGATTCGTGATAATCTTTATGTATCAACTAGTTCYTCCCATTTCAGAATACTTCTTAGTACTCTGGCCCACTGTTGCCCACAGGTTTTTAGGTCTTGCTCCTGATTTTCTTTTCCTGCTACCTGTATTATATCTTATCTCTCAGTATTAGGCTCTCTGATAAATCCTATATATATACATTTTTTTTAAAGAAAATAATAAGCATTGGCAAGGATATGGAGAAAGAAGAACCCTTTTTCATTKCGGATGGTAGTATAAAATGTCACAGCTGCTAGTAAAACAGTTTGGCAGTTCTTCAGGAAGTTAAACATAGTATTACCATATGACTCAACAGTCTCACACTAGGTATATACCCAAGAGAACTGAAAATGGGTGTTCAAAAACTTGCAAAGAATCTTCATAGCAGCACTCTTCACAATGACCAAAGATTGGGAACAGCCAAATGTTCATCAACTAATGAATGGAAAAATAAAATATGGTATATCCATATAATAGAATACTACTTAGCCATAAAAAGGAATGAAGTAATGCATGCTACAACATGGATGAGCCTTGAATATTGTGTTAATATTGACATGAGACATAAAAGGTCACATAATGGTATGATTCCATTTATTGAAATACCCAGAATGGATAAAGTCATAGACACAAGTAGATAAGTGGGTCCCAGAGGTTGGGGAGAGGAGGGAACTAGGGAACCAATTATTTAATGGGTGCAGAGTTTTTTTTCAGAGTGATAAAAATATTCTCTGGTTTATATGGATGCTTCTATAAAATTGTGAATGTACTAAGTGCCCCTGAAAATAGTAAATTGTATGCTATATGTATTTTACCATGGTTTTAAAAAATCCATTGTAATGTTCTGATGGCAGAAACCAAAGTAACTCTCCAGGGCTTTAAGAGCTCAAGTAAGTATATTTTAGTATATCTTTCTAATAGTGTCTCCTTCATCCCTGTTTACCTTAAAGTAGAGGTCCCAGTTTTGTGCACTCTTAAAATATGTATTTGAATGCCTTTAAGTGGGTCTATTTTCTGTTGTTTGCCTCAACACCACTTTTTCCTGTTGTTTCACTATGGCTATTTTTACACATTTCTAAGTTCCAGTGCCCTTTCTCATTTGAGTTATGACCCCTGCCTTTAAGGAGTCATTCTAATAATAAAAATTCCAGGATAAAGAGTGCATGATTAGTCCTGTATTGTTTCTCAGATTAATATTTAGCATTAAGAATGAACATTTACTAATTATCTGTTTGATTCTAGACATTTTGTTACTTTTTCATACTGATCTCCCAGTTCTATGAGGTATTTTTCCTCCATTTAAAGATGGGGAAATTGAGACTCCAAGAAATTATGTATACATAGATGTGGAACTAGTAAATGACAGACTAGTATTCAAACCAAGGTCTAACTGCAAAGTTTTTATAAGGTTGTTTTTGCCAAATGTCATTCATTCCCAGTATTAGTCCTGTTATTACTGTCATTCTCACTCATCTCAGAGTCTTTYATATAGGCATACATTTTTTAAATGGCATTTTCTTTGCATTTACATAATTTACTATGATGGATATCCATATTATCTCTCCAGTGCTTATGGAATGATGTCTAGACTCCAGATTCTGGCATTGGGGCTTTCACACGTGGCCCTGATACATTGTTTCAACCTAACAAAGTGCTTTTCTGTTTCTGTCTTTGTTAGTTAGCACTGTTAACTCGGTCTGTATTGGACATACATCTTTTTCATCATTTTTCTCTATCAATTCCAACACAAATAATATCTCTTTCAGGAATCCATTATAACTCTGGAACAGGACTCTCATGGCCTCCTTGTCCAGCAGGCTGAGTGATTAGGGTTTCTACAAAATTGGTCTTGGAAAGACTTTAAAAACTTAAAATACTTAGAGAAAAGCCAAAAGTACAATAACTGTTAGACAATCCTTTTTTTTTTTTTTTTAAAGAGAGAGAGAGAGAGAGAATTTATTAACATTTATTTTTTAGTTCTCGGCGTACACAACATCTTTGTATGTGGTCCTGAGGATCGAACCCAGGCCGCACGCATGCCAGGCAGGCACGCTGCCACTTAAGCCACATCCCCAGCCCCCAGACAATCCTTTTTTAAAGATGGTTTCATGCTGTTGAGCACATTTATTTCTTGTGAAACAGCCCAGAGGATTATTTTTGAAATAAATTTTGTTTTGTTTTGTTTTGTTTGGTAGGTGTTGCTATATACACTGGAATGGAAACTAAGATGGCATTAAATTACAAGAGCAAGTCACAGAAACGATCTGCGGTAGAAAAGTAAGAAAACTTTTTACTTATTTATATATAATTATATTTGTATTTTAAAACATGTTTTAAAATAATCAGCTATTAGAAAACACTGGAAATTGACCAAAAGTAAGCAGAAACCAGCAAGGAGGCTAATCTTGAAAGATGTCAATACCAAAGGAAAAGATTTGAATACAACTTTTGTCTGAGGGCATTCCCAATTTATGAACTGCTAAGGACATCAAAAAGTCTAAGCATGGGATATAGACTCAGCTCAGTATAGCATTTGCCTAATGTACATAAGACCCTGGGTTCAATCTCTAGAACTGCAAGAAAAAATAAAAGAAGAAGAAGAAGGGGGAAGGGAGGAAGAGGAAAGAAGAAAAGAAAGTCTGAACTTTACTGGATTAAAATACCAGAGGATTCAAAGGTGATGGAAGAGCAGCTGGAAAGTTAGGGACAAATATGTAAGGAGAGAGCTAGAGAAYTTGAAAACCTCAGAAATTTCTTTCAAATCCTTTCCTGACTACTAGAACCATATATATATGTGCAAGGTATACCTAGTGGGCTTGGGGAAAAAAATAAACAAAATAGTAGTAGGAAGCTGAAAGAACTGAACAGAGAATTTCACTACTTCTTACTGTGGAAATAGTGAAATTCTGTGGAGACAGAATTGAGGGGGTTAAGTCCAACCAGGTTAAATGCCTAATGAAATAAAAATCAGCACTCTTCTGAGAAATATGAAATAATATAGGCTCTGCAGCCTATTATTTAGAAAGTCCAGTATGCATTAAAAAAAATAAGCAGACATAAAGCACTTGCCTAGCATGTGCAAAGTCCTGGCTTTGATACCCAGTACCRCCAAAAAGCAAAATCTGCAATGAAAAAAGAATCTAACTCATACTTTATTGGAAAAAGCATTCAATAGAAATTGTCTCCAAAATAATCTAAATGTTACAATTAGCAAATAAGAATTTTGAAGCAAGGAGCTAAAAGAAAATACGAATGAACAAATGAGAAAACTCTTGTTTTTGTTCAAGGGCCTAAAAGAAAACATGAATGAACATAGGGAAAACTCAAAAGAGAAATGGAAACTTTAAAAAAGAACCCATGAAAATTATTGAGCTGAAAAATATAAGTATTAAAAGATAAACATTACTGGATAGAGTTAACATCAGTTACTGAACTTAGGGAAATTATTCAATTTTAAGAACTGAGAGAAAAAAGATTGGAGAGAAAAGAACAGCACTTCAGAGGAGGTGTGAAACATTAGACTGTCTAGCTTTAGTATAAGTGAATCCCCAAGTAAGAGAAAGGGGCAAAGTAAAAAAAAATTTATTTGGAAAAAATGGCTTGAGACTTTAAAATTTGGAGAAAAAAAAAAAGCGTTAGTTTATACTACCAATAAAGATCATCAAATGCTAAATGGAGGAAAATGTAGAACACCTGCAGGACTTAGAGTTAAGCAAAGAGTTATTAGATATAATAATTAATAAATTGGATTTCATCTAAACTAAAAAACTTTCAAAAGTTCTGTTAAAATGATGAAAGACAAGTTATAGACTGGAAGAAAATATATGCAAACCATAAATCTCCCAGAGGCCTATTTCTAGATATATAAAGAACTCTTAAACTGAGCAGTAACACAAAAATTCAGTTAAAAATGAGCAAAAGATGTGAATATATATTTCACCAAAGAAGAGTTGCACATAGCAAATAAATACATAAAAATATATTCAGATTATCATGTCCATTTACAAGAATGGGGGTTCTAATTAGAATAAGATATATTTTGTGCTTGTATAATCTTATCAGAATTGATTCTACTATCACATATAACTAGGAAGAACCAATTAAAAACAAAGCAAAAAAATAAAAATAAAAAAAAKATATTCGCATCATTACCTATTAGGGAAAAGCAAATTAGAACCACAGTGAGGTATTGCCCCACCTATTAAAACAGCTAAAATAAAAAATAGTGGTAACACCAAGTGCTGGATAATAGGTGAAGAAACTGGATCTCTCATCATTGTGGAAACAACACTCTGGAAAATAGTTTTTCAGTTTCTTACAAAACTAGACATGCATTTACCATACAGCCTAGTAATTGCACACTTGGGTATTTATCCCAGAGAAATGAATTTTATGTTAACACATAAACTCATACAGGAATGTTCATACCAACTTTATTTGTAACAGCAAAACATAACTTTATTAGGAGCACTTCTCAGTGTCCTTTAATGGGTAAATAGTTGAACAAAAAATCTAGTACATTTATGCAATGAACATTACTTAGCAAGAAAAATAACAACCTGAATAACTCTTAAAGGCATTATACTTGGTAAAAAGAGTCACACTCAAAAGATTATATACTCTTATGATTTCAATCTTACAACATTCTCAAAGTGACAAAATTATACAGCTACAGGAAAGGATAGATGCAAATATTGTTAGTATTAGCACAAGGGAGTTCTATGGCAAAGTTCAATATCTTGATAATGGTGGTTAATCTATATATAGCATTAAATTATATAGAACTGTTAACACACATACAAATGAGTACAGATTTTATAAATGATGAGAATGAATCTACAGTCTAATTCACTATACTGTAACAACATCATTTTCCTGGTTTTGATATTATGCTACAACTACATAAGATGTCAACATGGGCGAAGAGAACATGAGACTCTGTACTGTTTTTATAACTTCCTGTGTGCCTGTAATTATTTTAAAATAAAAAAATTTAAAAGGCAATTGATGCCAGGCATGGTGGCACATGCCTGTAATCCCAGCTACTTGAGAGGTTCAGGTAGGAAGGTCTGAAGTTCAAGCCAGTCTGAGCAACTTAGAAAGATTCTTTCTCAAAATAAAAATAAAGTGGGTGGGAGGGTGGTGAGAATCAGGAAGTCAGTGGTAGAGCACTTGCCTAGCATGTGCCAGGCTCTGGGTTCAGTCCCWAAAACTAAGAAAAAGAAGCAATTAATGAAATGACAGCATTTAAAAAAATAAAAACACACACAAAAAAAATAAAAATTAAATGGGTAATTTGAAAGAAGGAAAGTGCAGAAGAAATGAGAATGGTAAAATGTYAATATCTTTGACATTTTAAGCAGCAGAAGAGCAATGAAGGAAGTGTGAGCAAAGACAGAAGGTGGGGCATGACTGGGTTAATGAAGTCAGAATTTGGAGTCAGGCTGATGTAAATTTGAACTTCAGATCCACTGCATATTAGTTATGTGGTCTTGGACCAGTTGTTTTATTCCCTTGAACCAAATGTTTATTTTTTTTAACAATGTGAGCAGTACAAAAGGTGGAATGTCAAACACTGTGCCTAATACATAATACCCAAACAAAAAACAGTTACTTTCTTGATCTCTTTCCTCCCCACCTATTCTCACTATAGCATAGAGTTTATGTTGTAAAATAGTGGAATATCAATTACTTGCATAGTTAAGATAAGGGTAAATTATGAAGGTCTATGGAGAAAATCCAGAATTCAGGCATTTTTCCATCCTTAAGAGTTTTTACAAAGCCTGAGACCTGCATTTGCCCTCAATACATGTTAGATGTGTGGGGGTTCATTATACCATTGTTTTATTATTTTGTATATATTTGGATTGTTTAATAAGATGCCATTTATTTTATTATATGAAAAATGCATGTTTTTAAACTTAACATCATACAGGTGACATTAAATTTGACTGGTGAAGGGAAGAGGGATCCTGACTTTGATGGTTTGGAGAAAGTACAGAAATATATTTGGACTTTGGTCCTCAGCAGGAAAAACAATGGATTAATCTCTTCTTCACAGAATGTTTATAAAGATAGTGGATGTGCCAAGTTTTGTAAAATTTTAAAGCACATGGCATTAAAAAAACATAAAATGTTCTTTTTAGTTAGTACATTTGTAATTAGATGGGTCCTGAAAATACTTAAAATTCTTCAAACAATTCTTTACAGCAAAAATAATTGTCCAAAGCTGTTATTTATTGTAACATCTATATGTATCAGTCCTTTTATTTCTAGTAAAYAGGTTGTTTTGAATGGTTATTTCTTGAACGTAAAGACTGTGTCCTCTAAAATAGCTATAATAATACCTTATTATTTTATTATCCTCTTTAATAGAAGTATTAATTACTAAGCAAATGAAGACAGTAACTTGGATGTTTTGTATTCTCTTTTTCTTGCTTCAGATCAATGAACACATTTTTAATAATTTATCTAATAATCCTTATCTCTGAAGCCATCATCAGTACTATCTTGAAGTATACATGGCAAGCTGAAGAAAAATGGGATGAACCTTGGTATAACCAAAAAACAGAACATCAAAGAAATAGTAGTAAGGTATTCTATGGTGCTCCGCCAGAAAAGAAACTATTTTTTTGGCGCASTTAGTGCTTTGCTAGTGGCTTGTGATAGGAGGGAACACTGTGATCACRTAACCATTAGTACTGACAAAACAACATTGCAAATGAAGAGCAGTCAGCTTTTCATAGCTTAGGATGTGTAAGTRGTTGCGTTCCCTGTGGAATGACTTGAGTAGTTAAAACAGATCGCAAAAATTTAAATCTGACTATATTTGTATCTACCTCAATACTACAAATTCTATTTTCTATTTCATTTACTGTATATTGAAAATTATTTGAAGAGCAAGTTGATTTATTTTCTATCCAGTMTATATAATTCAGGTTTCTCTGTCTTGGTGGTATGAAGTAACTCACAAATTGTATCATATAAAGGTTTAAACTGATTAAATGTGGGCTACCAAGAGAATTTAAACTACAATTTTGGTAAATAATTGTCCTCCAAATTTAACCTTAGATTAAAATATACCCATTGAAAGATATATTTGGATCTCTAGGAGATCACAAAGCAGATAAAATGCAGGATGATATTTTTCARTATCATTCACAGTTATTTTACCTTTCGCAGAATTCAAATGGAAATTTGGCTCTGCTATGCCGTGGATTAAGGCTATCCCTGTAAAATCTGTACTTCAGAGTTTTGATTTCTTACCAGTTCCAACCTAGCAATTATCTTATAKTTTTTTGGAATTTACACTCAATTTTAATTGTCCATGGTTTTGAAGGGAGTAGAGTGGGTAAGTGCACTCCAGAGGGCATAATTATAATTTTACCAAAGGCAGTTTCAGTAATATCAGGTGACTTTAGCTTCTGAAATGTAACAAATTATTTGAATTCATTGTTTTCCTTTACTCTGATCAAGAGTCTAAATAAATAAAATAAATGTTAAAAAGACAATTTAATAAATGAATTTCAATTTGTGATATTATCCTATTTTGGAATATAATTGATGATCTGTTCAGGTATGAAACCTTTTGATAAGAAGTAACARAAGAAATTCTCATGCTGTTATCAAATAATCATTTCTTTTTTCCTAGATTCTGAGGTTTATTTCTGATTTCCTTGCTTTTTTGGTACTCTACAATTTCATCATTCCAATTTCATTATATGTGACAGTTGAAATGCAAAAATTTCTTGGATCGTTTTTTATTGGCTGGGATCTTGATCTCTATCATGAAGAATCAGATCAGAAAGCTCAAGTCAATACTTCTGATCTTAATGAAGAGCTTGGACAGGTGAATATAACCAGAATATTTTATTTTTAAAACAATACATGTACAAAGGCTAATATAACAAATATTACAAAGTTCATATCAAAAACATCCCTGCTTTGTTCTACATCTAATTCTATTTTTAATTTTTAAGTTGCTTCTTTTATTATTTATCAATGTATTTCTACACTCTTTCTTAATTTTAACATGCTAGAAATTATCTATTATGAAATATGAAGATAAACTCATACTCCTCCTTCCCATACATATTCTGACACATAACCCCCCTTACTTCCCCAAGCCCCTCAATATTGTTATTTCACAAATTAGAATTTATTATTTATTGATTGATATCATTTGACTACTATTCATTAATTCCTTATTCTTTATGTTTCCTATAATGATGTTATTTTGTTTTCTTTCTATATATTTTGTTTTCCTTAGAATTAGAATTGCTTTGTTCTTTCATTTGCATAATTTCCACATACCACAAACAAGTCCTTAACAAATACATGAAGCTTCTTGCCTCTGTATGTTCAAGCATATCAGTTAGTTAGGAATTTTTTTTCTTCTCCCTCTCTTTCTTTGTCTCTCTCCCTCTTCCACCCCCGACCCTTTTATTTTTTTCTTCAAGATGGGGTGTTCCTTTGCTTCCAAGCAGAACTCAGACTCCTATAGTACAGTCCTCCTTCCTCAGCCTCATGAGTACCTGGACTACAGGCATTCCTCACCAGACCCACCTTTATTATCATTATTATTATTATTTTACATAGCAGAATTCCTATGTCTCTGGTGTTGTAGTTATCTTTACTATTCCCAATAATATGGACATTTAAGTGTTTATCACTTATATTTATTTCTTTTTTTTTTCGCCTTTTTTTTATTGTTGGTTGTTCAAAACATTACATAGTTCTTGATATATCATATTTCACATTTTGATTCAAGTGGGTTATGAACTCCCATTTTACCCCGTATACAGCTTGCAGAATCACATCAGTTACACTTCCATTGATTTACATATTGATATACTCATGTCTGTTGTATTCTGCTGCCTTT